GTATCATTCTAATATTTGATCTCATTTGTTTATTGAGCAAGGTTTCCATATAAATACAATCCACTGACGAACTAGCTTTGTATTTCATCATAAAAATATAAAATGATTTTAATGATATATTTTATTATATACAAGAAATAGCCTTTGTAGCATTTAAACTAAACTATTAGCTTAAGTGAATAAAATAAACTTATTTTTACATTTCCATTTAATCATAATGCTTATATCAGAAGTTTAAGTTTTACACTTAGTTTGATTTAATGATTTATTATGGAATCTATTAGATTCCTTGAAATTTTTTATATAAGTTGATTATGATCAGATATTAAAATAAGCATAATTGTTTCTAATTGTTAATCCATTACTAAATTTATATTTGAAATAACTAATTGAATTTAGAAATGTTGAAAATAGATTGTAACAAAATCTGTCAAAAGTAAATTAAAATTTTTGAACATTCTTTTTAAAGCAATTATATTGTTTGTAATTAATTGATAATTAATTCAACCAATTATCTTGTGGATTGATAATAAATACATTAACAATATTTTTATTTTCTCATAAATATTAGGATTATCTTTAGTAAATAGAGTATACAATTTAAATATTCTTAAATAATCTTAAGAATAAGATTTATTATAAGATAAAATATTTCTATCTAGCTTTGGGGATAAAATTAAAGAGTAAATAAAATTAAAAATATATTGGTTTACTTAACTTAAATAATATTGGAATTGAATGAAATTATAAATATATATCAAGAAAATTTGGATTTATGATGTCCTTTTATTAGTTTAGTTTTAAAAGCATTTTTACTTGAATATACACCAGATGATAATTATTATTATTTGAATTCTTAAAGATCTGTTAAAATATTATAATTATCTTCTTCTTCTTCATCATAGTCTTATTATTAGAAAACATCTTTATATTCTGAGTCATCATATTTTTTTATATCTTAATCATTTTGATTTTGTTAATTTTAATATGTGAACTATTTTTGTTTGAATTATTCATATATTTTCAAAGCATTCTTTGCTCTGTTTAAAGCCATTTCTTTTTTATCTTCTTTTTCTGCTTAATTTTATTATAATTATTAATCCTTTTATTATTTACTTCCATATAATCTATCTAATAATTATTATTTAGATGAACTTATCTATCCATCATTCTTTTCAACCTTTGTTGGAATAATAGTATCTTTTAATTCCTCTAATAATTCATTAGCTTCTTATTCTGCAGCTTCAGCTCTAGATATTTCATCTATTCTGTAACCCCAATTAGCATCATGACCCAAAATTAATGCTCCTATTTTTGAGACTTATCCATTTTTAAATGCCCACAAATAACAACAACAATCAAAAGATGATGTTGCAAAATGTGATCCATCTTTACACACTTCAATATATGTAATACCATCTTAATGTGCTTTTCGTTAATATCCAACTTCCATTATGTCTCCAATAACAAATATCTATTATTTTATTTAATTAATACTTAAGCAATATCTTCTTATCCATAATCCATGGCTGTTACAAATGTATCAGCATCATTGTTCTTTCTTGTTTTTATCTTTTACTCTACTTAATGAAGATCAACTTTATCTAAAACTTATTTAATATTCCATATTTTTAGATTACCTAATTCATCACCCAAATATAATAAGTTATCATGATAATTTATTGAAGTCACAGGAAACTATTGATAGATGTTAAATTTACTGTTTCTTCTTAATTAGTCAAAGATATTGCTTTATATGTTTTTTACAATAATAATTTAGATTTAAATTTGCTTTCCAATACTCCTATAAAATAAACATTTCCAATAGAATCAACACTTACAATACAATTATGTGATTCCAAAAACATTACTTTTTTCAATTCATATTAGCATTTCCAAACTAATTCTTATCTATAAGAAACTAAATCTATAATAAAAATGGCTCCATCATCAGCACAACTAACTAAGTTTTCACTATCTTATTTTACATGAAGTGAATTAACACTTAAATGATGTTATTTCATTTTATATCTACAAGATTTGTGAGCATCTTAAGAATCTTCATCATGAATGTTGACAGTATCCTCTCTACTACAACTAATGACTCTTCTATTAGTATCATTACTCCAATGAGCTAAATCTGTTATCATTTTGTGATGTCTTTCAAATTTCTTCATTTTTGCACCATTTTTAATGTTGACTGTAAATATTCTACCTTCAGAATCTCCAATAAATAATTTCCTTTATCTTGCATCAATAATCATTGTAGTTAATTCAGCAACACTCAATTCTCTATAAACTTATTACAATTTTCCAGTTCTGGCATCCCAAGTCTTAACACTATCAGGATGAAGAGTAATAAAACATGTAAGTGTTTAATTATATAAAACCTTTAAACACATTTTTTCATCTGTCAACATCTAATCTTTAGGTTCATCATATTCATAAAAAAACATCTTTCTTGCTCCAACTACTATTTATTTCTTTGGATATGTTAATGTAAATGCTTAAATTTCATCTGCAGGAACATTGAAAGTTTATATTTATAAAAAGTTTCTAACATCCCAAACTTTAACCATCCCTGAAATATCTGCTGTAACTACTTAAGAAGTTCTAGGCAAACATTTTACACCAACTAATGGATGATTATGACCTCTAAGTAAGAAAATCTTTTCTTTTACATAAGTATTCCAAACAAATGCTTCATGATCTAATCCAGCACTAATTAAACATTAATTCATAGGACTCCAATCACTCCAATCTAAACTATATACACCTTTTTCATGTCCTCTTAATTCTTTCTTAGGTTAATGTGTAGCACTGTCCCATAAACAAATATTGCCATCCAATCCACCAGTAACCAATGTATTTTATTAATCTATTGCCAATATATCACCAATTGGAGAAGAATGTCCATATTATTAAGAGTCTCTTTTAATAAATGGGTTCCAACCAGATAATGTTCCTCTTTCTTTTAAATCATATGTATCATATATATGAATTATAGAATCTGACCCTCCTGTATATAAGAAATTAGATTATGATGAACTCCATCTTGCATATCTCATACATAATTATATTTCTGGAACAGAGAGTATTTATTTTAAGTTAAAACTACTTGAATCCCAGAAATTTATTGTTAAATCATTACTGCTACTAGCAATTAAATTTTAATCAGGAATAAATTCTGCAGACAATACATATCCTTTATGAGCATTTACATTCCATATTAATTCACTTGTATTAGAGTTATATACCTTAAATTTTGGAGACTCTTTCTCTAATACTAAAAGCATTTTTAATCTGTCAAAGAAGTATACTCTATCAATTACAGTCTCATGTTTTTATTCATCTTTAATATTTTCAGCAGGATGATAACTTTTTATTACATCCTTAAATGATCTATCATTTCTTAATAATCCTAATTCAATAATGTGATTGCTAAATTCAACCCATTCCATAGTACCATCACCATTAACATCTATTTCTTTAAACAATTCAATTAATGCTAATGTTATTTTCTTTGTCTCCTCTTTTGAATCCTTATTGTAATCTAAATGCTCTAACATGACTTTCAGAAACTGTTAGATTGTCAATCCTTACCCTTTTGAATTTTTATCTGGAAAGCATCTCTCTATTACTGCCATTTTCTTCTTATGTAATTTCTCCATAATATCTATTTCTTTTTTTTCATAATCTTAATCATAATCCTCATAATCTTGATTTTTCATTATTTTATACAATATTTACACTAATTATTAAATTATAAATATAAATTGAAATAGCTCCATCAATAATGAAATATATTTCCTATACCTAATTTAATAATTAAAACCGAGATTAAATTGTTATTTATATAACTATTTTAATTCATTATCTAAATCATGTCTTTGAAAAATTTATAATTAAAAGAATAAAATAAATATCCATTATTTCAAATTAATTGATTAAATCAAATATATAAATCAAGATACTAATTCAGCTTTGATAATCTAAAATAATGGCCATATATGATTTTGATATTGATCTAATTTCTAATAATTGATATATAGTTTTGAAATAATCTTAAATTTCTAAAGATTACTTTAATTGACTCTGGAAAATATAGTAACTATATTATAACTATATTAAATAGGTTGCTATATTAATTAAGTAATTATAGTTTATTACTTTCACATCTGTTTTAGAACAATCACATAAATTTGATCTTGAATTTTAATTCCAATTCCAAATTTGGATCCATTAATCTGTCAAAAAAATAAAATAATTAGGTGGTTAGCCAATCAATAATCCTTATATATAATGATATATACTTGCAAAATCAGTTATCTATGTGTAAAATGTAATGAAGTAGTAGTATTAAATACTTCTATAGAAAAGATTACATTTATAAATAACATCTAAACATTTATATCCATCAAAATTGTATTAAATTAAAAAAATAGATATAGAATGTCCATTATATGTATTTTATTGTATCAATATTTAAAATATGTCAATATATTGATAAGGAAACAAAATTATGTGTAATTCTAGATAATATTTTTTTGTGTAGAATTTTGTAAAATACAACAACTATAAACAAATGTTGATGATAAATAAATATTAATAGATATCATTTAATAACATATTTAAAATGATTAAATAATTTAATTCTTAAGCAGTCAAAAATTAAACAAACAATCATAATGAGTTAAACTAATTTTAACAAAATGAGGTTGATTTAATTTTGTTAAGAGAATTTTGGGTAAACAAATTTCAAATTATTTCAAGATATAACATTTTTTAATTACAACAATTCAAATTTTATTTTGTAATTTATTATAGTTTGTTGATAAATTCTAAACTATGTATATATATTCATCTTAAAATCATTATTTTTTTAAGATGACAAAAATGAATTAAAAATAAAAGAAGATTAAATTGAACATTCTTATAATAATTTTTCATAAGATATTAATTAAATATGCAAATTATGAATACTTTTTAATAAAAATAGTTCAGGTTTAGGATTAATGAAAACTGGATTTCAAACTATCTTATGAGATGTAACGTATAGGGAATTCTGGATAAACTTTTGGAGATTTAGACTTTGCACATTATTCTTCGATTTTACAATCAACTCTCTCAGAAGGAATTATAGATGGACTGTTTATAGAATTAATTCCAAGTTTTAATACATTTTTTTCTTATAATACTTCTTGGCTATCTTATAATTCAGTTTTAATTCTTCCTGGAATTTCTAAATTATTTAATCTAGAAAATATAATAATTAATTACTTTTTAAATTCTAATATCTTTTTAGCTTAAGCTATTAGATAATTTCTTAATTTACCATATCTATCTCGAATCCTATCCTATTTTTTCTTTCTACTTTCAAATAACTCATATAAAAATGGATGTCTTCTTATAAAATTAGGAAAATGACTTTTAACAAAATCTTTTACTTAATCAATTTGATCATGTAATTTCACAAAATAAGCAAATAATATTTTAATAAGCATTTATGCTATAAATAAGGCATTTAATATTCCAATAATGATATAGAATGGCCACACTATTTCTTATAAATCTGATTATTAGGCTGTATAAATAGAACTGCCTAAGATGATTGATACTGCACAGGCAATTGTCGATTGGGTGTCTAAGTAATTGAGATCGCCAGACATATAAGGTTTTTGAGCTGTAGTTAAAAAGCTATATCCAAATAGCACTAAAAATACAAGTGATGCTTTTATAGGAATGTGATCCTCATAATAAGCTAATACAATAATAATTAATTCTTTTTAAAGGATTTTGATGGTTTCCCAATAATAAGCATGTAATTTATATTCATTATATAAATAGCCCCAAATTTATCTTACTTTAGTAAGATCTAAACGATGCAAATTTTTTCTTACTCCATACCATAAATAAGCAGGTATTATGGCTCCAAAAAGTAACAATAAAGGAAAGCAAAAGCCTAATAACCATTTAACATGCTGATATGTATCATAACGATAGGCTACATTACCTTAAATCCAATATTCATTTGAAATTACCCTATAGGATATTAAAGAGATCAAACCTCCTATTAAATTAGGTTGTAAGTAAATAAATACATATATAAGAGCTGTAGTAATATAAGAGAATCTGAATTTTATAGAGTTAAACATAATGGCTATTCCTCCTAAAGTGAAGAACACTGTGATATATGAAGATGCCATCATTAGACTCCAGATAATTCTAAAGTAAATGATTAGTATATCTGAAACATTTATTAAAAAGCAATCGAGAGAATATGCCATTGATTCGATTGGATTACCAGCACTATTAACTATTGATGCCAATCCTGAAGGCACTTGTAATTAGAATGTACCAATAGTTGAAATGATTTATAGATAATTTGTGAATACCTTAATTAATATAGCAGTAGATGCTTATTTAATAACAACAGTGACTCCAAATGCTTTTAATCGAATTCCAATAATAAATTCTTCAATCATTTAAACAGTACTACTTACAGACATTAAAATTGAAACAAGAGTCCAAATACTGATGAAAAATATAGTTAATACATTTCCAGAAATATCTTCACAACTTCCACATGAATATTAAGAACTTATAGAATAAGATCCATCTCCTCTAATATTATATAAGTCGCATTACTCACACAAAGCACCTATGTGTCCAATTATACAAGATTCATCTCCTGGTTACCATCCTCCCTCGCAATTTTCAGTCAAGTGGTAACAATATTCTATAATTTAACTATAATAATATGCCCTCCAATAACTTTATCTTAATTCAATCATAGAAGACTCTATTGATTTCATTTTTAAGTCATCTTTATAACTGCAACTCTAAGCACTCCATTGCACTTAATATTGGTTTTAAATTACATCACATAATGTACAACCTCCAGAAGTTGTATTTAAGAATTCTCCTAATTAACATTAAAATGTTTTGATATCTACTTACAAATTATAGTTTGTTAAATAATTCTTAATTAAATAAGGAGGATTAACATCATATTCTGGAATTGAGATAATATTACATTAAATATTTAATCTTAAGACAATATCTTCCTCATATGTTGGATTGAAGTAGATAATTAAATCATCTAGATTATAATCACCAGTGGTTTCATTAAATTTCACTTTACTATAGGATAAATTTCCAATTAATCCTAGAACTGCTTCTTCACTAGTAGTATTAATAATTGAAGGAGTCATTGTGCAAGTAGTTCCAGCTAATTTTTTTTCTTGAGTGTTATATTTGTTAAGAGCAATTATACGGAATGTTAAATTATAAGGGATATACTCTGATTGAAATTAATCAAAAAATTAATAAGAAAATATTTATCTACCAGAAGGAAATGTTAGATATTTAACTTTTTCAGATTATCCCAATATCTTATAAGGAGTGACTATTATTTTTTCTATGATCATAGTTGGACTTTATTTTACCAAAATTTTGGTTAAAAAGGTCTGACCACCATCAACAGAGATTGTTAAAGATCTTGGATTCTCAAATACATCTGATCCAAAAAGAGTTGAATTATTATTTGATAAAAATACATCTAATTGTATTGTTTTCTAAAGTTACTATTTATTCAAATACAATCCTCCAGCTATTTTAGCTTAATTTTCAATTATTTCACTATCAAATATAATCATTGAAGATTCATTTGAATAATAATAAATTGCCCCTCCTATATCTGCTTTATTTTTCTGAAATAAACAATTATGTATTATGGTTTTTGTTTATACAATGAAAACTGATCCTCCATATATTGCATTGTTATTTAAAAATTTACTATTCATTATTCTAGCTTAATAATCTAATTATTATATTAAATTTGTATAATCATGTTTTTGAAGTTATCTTCTCCTATTAACTAATAGTAAATCACTTCTTAAAAAAGATTCATCATCTTCTGATTATATTAATGAAAGACATCCTGTTTATCCACATTCACTATTAAAGATCTTAATTTTATTAAAAAAGATGTTTTCAGTCTATAATTAAAATATACCCTTAATTCTAAAAATGCCATATTAACATGATTTACAAATTATAGAGTCAAAATTTAATCCTTAAACTTCAAAACTATGAGATGAATTCAAATTATCTATTTCAAATAAGCTAAAATTATAATTTGCTTATTTATAAACTTCATTTTAATTACATAATTATTAATATTCCTATTCAAGTGATGTATCATATTCATTTATAATTGGATTTTCTTATATGATACCTCCAGGACATGTTAAAGATTAAAGTATTGGGTATGTTGATATTAAACACAAAGAATCAGAATAATCAGTATATTATTTCACATTTTCTGCATTAATATTAATTAATAAAATATTTCCAGCATATACTATTTAATATATATAAAATAATTACATTATCTTAAACTTAATCTTATCAAAGGAGAAAACAAGATTGTTGAATTTAGAATGAAAATATCTTTTATCAAAATATTTGTTGCAAATTCAATATCTATTAAAAATTAAATATGGGTTGATATAAAACTGCAATTTTCTATTGATACAGATCCAAATTTTATTTTAATCAAAGGGTTATCATTTCGTATCAAATCTAAATCATCACTAGTTGGTGATACTAAAAGAGATAAATATTTCCTGAAACCAGATTTCGTAATTTTAAATGATATTCCACTAAATTAAACTTCAGAATTTATGCTTTAAAGACTTGATAATTAGTATGAGAAGAAACCATATTAGATGGAAAAGCAATTTATCACTGTTAAATTATGTAGATTAACATAGTTTTATTGTTACGAAGGTACAATATAGATGCCACCTCCTTAAATCCTGCTAAATGCATTTTCTATAGTTGTTGATTATATTCGTAAATATAACTCTGATAATTAGGCATCTATGTAGAGGCAACCACCTGTTGAAAATGAAGAACTTGATAAACTAGTTAATGTATTTTAAAAGATTGAGTTCTAAATATAGATAGTTCCTGTAACCTATGCAATTATATAGAACCCACCACCATACAATGAAAATGAATTATTAACTTATGTCTTATCTATTGAGATTATATTGGCTATTATCAAACCATTTCCACTTTTTGAATTAATTGGAAATGCTTACATAATACTCATCCCATCATAATCTTTTTAGTCTTCAAATAATAATAGATTCTAAACTAAGTTGGAAAGTAGCAAAATATTGTTGTTAGAAAATTTATTTTTCTGAAATAACACATCAATAGATTTTATTAATAATATTGAATCTGTTGAATTAGTGACAAGATTTTATTTGAAAACAGTATTAGTTATTTAAACACTACCTTATTATAATTATAGTATTAGAGTAGATGCAGATTATCTAGATAAATCTTAAACGTATTAATTTAAATGATTTTTATTAAATACTACACAGTCTATACTTATTTTGCAATTTTATTCAGAATATAATGATATAATTGAAGTGGCACTGTTTCTTTTAGTTATAATTAACATATTTGATTCAAATCTACTATTCTGGATATTTATATATTCATTTTGAATTTTCTCCATCAAATCATAAGCTTTAATAATTATATAAGGATTATTAAAAGCTATAGAATCAAACAATTCTAAATTATTTATTGTAATATTTTAATACAATCCTATGTATAAATAAAAATACATATCATCATAGGCATAATTGAGCATGCAATCAACTGATTAATGAAGTGTTTTAGAGTGATATAATATTGATTAAGTAAATTTAATCCTATTTAATGATAGATTCTAAGAGTTTAAAATTGTTATTTCTGGTAAACCATGTCCTCTATTAATTTCCACATCCTCCAATAAACATGTTTAACATTCTATATAAATAATTGCTTATTAGTAAGATATATATTTATTTTGAACTATGTCTGTAATCACACTTTTAGATAAAGTAAATTACTTTATTGAAACATTTAGAGCAGATATCTTTTCTAGGGAAATCAATTTAATAATAGCTTACTGATTATTATAATTTATATTTTCAATTGTGCAATTAATAATTGACACTTTAGCTGCATTAATTAGTGCATTAGATGATTATGAGTATTCGACATCATTACTTAGCATTGTACTATTAGTGATATTTGTATTGTTTATATATATATCCTGTAATTCAAAGATATTGCAAATGTAAAGGTATGAGCCTTATGAAATGATACTGTCTAGCATAATTAAACCTTGAATTTTTAATGATTCTGCACCTTAAATACTAAGTAATGATGATTTTTCTTTAATTATTACTTAATTTAGTTGAATTTCTTGAATTAACACTTGACCAATATCATAGTCTAGTTATGTTTATGATTTCATAAAATTTGAATTTTAAAATGTTGTATTCATGATACTAATAGCTTTCATCTAAGTGTTAAATAAAAGTTAATTCTATTTTCCTTCAAAGTAGAATAAATCTGTATCGGAAAAATATGAATTGATTATCTTTAAATTATAAACAATTAATCTATTTGAATTGAATAAAGATTTCGAAATGAAAGAAAAAATTTCAGAGTTTATAACTTTTAGATTTTCTATTATTACATTTATGAGACTTAAAGAATAACCTTATTCAGACATAAAATAAAGTGATGTAATAATAGGTGTAGAATTTTTAGTAGTAATAACACAGTCTTGAAGGATTAAGTTGAGACTAAGAGCTTAATTTTCTAAATTAATTGCTGTACCCAATGATTAGGAGTTTAATTAATTAAAAGTATCTAATTAAATATTTTGGAATGTAATTGTTGTGAAGTTACTCAAAGTTAATGTAGACTCTAAAGTGATAGTGGTTGGGTATAATTGTCCAATAAATTTTAAGTTAACAGTTTAAACAGTAAAAACATTTTATTAAATTTTAGAAAATAGTTATGACTATGAAGGTATGATGCAAACTTCTCCATTTTGTTAAATTAATGTATATTCAAAAATTACTTCCCTTATTACTTTCTCATTTAGATACTAAAATAATCCTGATGTTTCAACAGCAGATAAATATTTCTTTTAAAAGAGATCAGCTATATAAATATTTTTCATCTTAAAAAGATTTTAACTTTCTCCTGATAAACTATCAGCAGTTTAATTAAAATGATTATAAGAACAATAAATGTTTTAAACCAATATAACTTAATAATAGCATTTATTATATGTTTCACAAAAGGTAATAGTTTTTAATAATTGATCATTAAAGTATTAACCCTCAGGAGAATCTAAATTGAATTTTTCATAACAAATTCTCGTATATTTTAAGTTTGAAGGAGAGGATATAAAATATGGATTGAATTTTGTTATTTCAGATGGAGTTCTTTCTAAACATGCTCCACAATTACTTGGACAAGCTAAACATTCACCATTTGAATCTTAACTTTTTAAAAATCCATATGGAGTTTCCAAACATTATACACATGTTGCAACCCCATTTATAATTTGACATTTAGTGCATTCCAAATCACAATTTTTGATACACTTATGATTATCCAAAATATATCCTAAAGGACAGGATGTGCAAATTACTTCAAAATTATTTTGAAAAGCTTCTACTGCATAGGTTTCAAAGGAGTGAGAATCATCTTAATTAAAAATATATTTATAATAAGCCTTTATATTCCATTTCCAATAATCTTGATAAGTTTAACTCTATTAAATACAAGTCTTACAATTAGTATCACATTATAAACATTAACCAGTTAATATTGATGAATAAAAACCATCTACACAGACTATGCAAAAAGTTATGGTTAAACTATATTCTTCAATACATTCTTAACAATTTGAGATTGATTAACAATCTCTNTTTCCTTCAAAGTAGAATAAATCTGTATCGGAAAAATATGAATTGATTATCTTTAAATTATAAACAATTAATCTATTTGAATTGAATAAAGATTTCGAAATGAAAGAAAAAATTTCAGAGTTTATAACTTTTAGATTTTCTATTATTACATTTATGAGACTTAAAGAATAACCTTATTCAGACATAAAATAAAGTGATGTAATAATAGGTGTAGAATTTTTAGTAGTAATAACACAGTCTTGAAGGATTAAGTTGAGACTAAGAGCTTAATTTTCTAAATTAATTGCTGTACCCAATGATTAGGAGTTTAATTAATTAAAAGTATCTAATTAAATATTTTGGAATGTAATTGTTGTGAAGTTACTCAAAGTTAATGTAGACTCTAAAGTGATAGTGGTTGGGTATAATTGTCCAATAAATTTTAAGTTAACAGTTTAAACAGTAAAAACATTTTATTAAATTTTAGAAAATAGTTATGACTATGAAGGTATGATGCAAACTTCTCCATTTTGTTAAATTAATGTATATTCAAAAATTACTTCCCTTATTACTTTCTCATTTAGATACTAAAATAATCCTGATGTTTCAACAGCAGATAAATATTTCTTTTAAAAGAGATCAGCTATATAAATATTTTTCATCTTAAAAAGATTTTAACTTTCTCCTGATAAACTATCAGCAGTTTAATTAAAATGATTATAAGAACAATAAATGTTTTAAACCAATATAACTTAATAATAGCATTTATTATATGTTTCACAAAAGGTAATAGTTTTTAATAATTGATCATTAAAGTATTAACCCTCAGGAGAATCTAAATTGAATTTTTCATAACAAATTCTCGTATATTTTAAGTTTGAAGGAGAGGATATAAAATATGGATTGAATTTTGTTATTTCAGATGGAGTTCTTTCTAAACATGCTCCACAATTACTTGGACAAGCTAAACATTCACCATTTGAATCTTAACTTTTTAAAAATCCATATGGAGTTTCCAAACATTATACACATGTTGCAACCCCATTTATAATTTGACATTTAGTGCATTCCAAATCACAATTTTTGATACACTTATGATTATCCAAAATATATCCTAAAGGACAGGATGTGCAAATTACTTCAAAATTATTTTGAAAAGCTTCTACTGCATAGGTTTCAAAGGAGTGAGAATCATCTTAATTAAAAATATATTTATAATAAGCCTTTATATTCCATTTCCAATAATCTTGATAAGTTTAACTCTATTAAATACAAGTCTTACAATTAGTATCACATTATAAACATTAACCAGTTAATATTGATGAATAAAAACCATCTACACAGACTATGCAAAAAGTTATGGTTAAACTATATTCTTCAATACATTCTTAACAATTTGAGATTGATTAACAATCTCTATTTTGGGTGGAAGTTTTACTTGTTGTACTAATCAAGCATTCAGTATCACCAGTTGTATTGATAATGAGCCCAAAAGTGCAATCATCAATAAAGTCTGAAGGGCCATCACCTCCACCACCACCACCACCTCCACCACCTCCACTAATTGGATCAGTTGTAGTTGTTGTAGATGTAACAGGTTTTTCTGAACAAGTAAATGTTAATAAATTATAATAAAGATTAGTTTAACAAAGTGCACATCCAATATAAAACTATTCTTAACTTGATTTTAAAATTTCATAATTTATATCAAGAGTTGTATAAGTAATATCATTTTTAACATAGTATTAATAGCAATAAATACAATTTTCAATACTGCAAGATTAGCAATTATAACCATCAAATGTTTAAAAGTACTTAGTAGGATCATCACAGTATTGACAAATTCCATTTGAATCACAACTTGCACAATTCTATCCACAAGGAATACAAGACCCATTTGATGAAAGGTATGTTCCAGTTGTACATATATTGCATAAAACTATTTCCGATTATATTGTACAATCTGTACAACCTAAGCATTGTGTACATGAAAAATCTCCTGTTAAAACATAACCAGAAGAACATGTTTGACAAAGTGATTCATGTTGACAAGTTTGACATCCTTGAATACAGGAAATACAATTATTATTTTTTAAAAAGTATCCTTATTTACATTAATCAGATTTATCAAATCCATACTTTAGAATTAATTCATAATCTCCATTTCCATTTTTAATTATATTATAAAATTCTACATCTCTCTCCATTCTGTTAATAGTGTAATATGAAAAATTTTCATTATATTCATATGTGATTGTGTCTTATCTACATTTAAATGATTATTAAAAGCTATCTGGGTAAAACAAACAATTTGAACACTAAATCATACTTCTTGTATTAATTGATGAATAACCAGGACTATATTTTATTTATAAGATACCATTATATGCAATATTCTTCATATTAGAAATAACCAAATGAACATTCCTTTTTCTCTATAGTACAAACATCATTACCTTGAGTATCACAATGTAATTCCTATTCTACCTCTGTCATTTATGGAAAGATTTCTGATACTGGTTTACAAATTGGTTCATTTTCAATATCTACATATTTTTTTTTGCAAGCACAAATCTTTTAAGTAATAGATTATATTCTTTGACTATTTAATGGACAAGATAAACAGTTATTGCTATTAGGGCCATCGCAGGTCAGACATGAATAATGACAATTAGGAGATAGTGTAATAGTAGGAGTTGTGCAATAAGAACTTAATGACATATCACTGATGTATCCTCTCAAATAATTTTTGCTTTATTTATCTCCTCCAATATAATAATACATTTTTGTTCCTGTGAAATGTTTGATTTAATTATTCCATTTATATATTTTCTACTTAACCATTAGTGATGGAAAATACATCATAAAAACTGGTTACCCTTAGTTATTATTTGTTCCAATTTCATATTATATATAATGCCACTTAATAAATAACTCCAAGTATTATGCTCCAAAATTACTTATGATATCCGAAGCAGTACTAGTGTATCTATTTGAAGTCGGAAAATTGTATGAATACGTGGTTATAGAAAATCCATTAGATTCTGGAATGACATTCTAATGATATTTTAAATAGATATCTTTATCTCCAATCTCCATGTCATCTTAATAGTCTTGATTTATTGTAACTCTAAAAATCACAGTATCAAGAGGTGATTTCTCAAATAATTATAATTTTAACCATCCTTTTATTACATATATTGGATATTCAAATACACTTGTACTACCAAATAAATATTTCAATCCCAAAAATACTTAATTATTACTTGATAATGTATAAGTAGATTCTTAACACTCAGTTTCTATGGAACAATCTAATAAAAATGTCTCCAAGTCTTAAAATATATTTACTGACCCTTAACTGAAAACTGATGACAATCTTCCAATAAACTAAGTTAATCTTAACTCCTCTCCAAATTAATTTATTATATCTTATTTCCCTCCTATTTAATGTGTAATATCCTTGACTAAAGCAGGTATGTCATTTATTGTTTATGTTTTTGTTGTAATTGTTTATTCCAATTAATAAAATCCAATCATTGTTGATTCTGATAATAGATTAAAATAGAAATAAAATAATAACCATTATCCTTCATATTTTTCATATTCAAAATTAAATACTAAAGTACCAGTTGTTTTTTTAAAAGAATAAAACACATTATGAGTAATTGTTTATGTTTAATCAGAAATAGAAATATAAAAAGTTAATAAATTGAATTTTGTTTCTTTTTACTCTAGTAAATATATGAACTATCCTGATGATATTTAACCTTTTCCTGAAAAACCTGATAACACCTATAAATAATTATACCAATACTTATATCTGAAATTGGAATGAATGGTTAATATTTCACCCATAAACCATACCCTATATTTTCTTTAGAGTTTAAAATCCTACTTTCCAATTTAACATCTATTTCTTACTCTGGATTAGATAAACTTAATATTATAGACCCTGCACTTATGTAATTGCAATTTGAATAAACTTATCTTTAATAACAAATTGTAATACTCAAATAAAGTTAGAAGAATAGTAATTAGCAAACTTAGTATATTTTTTTACATAATATTTAATTGAATTAAAATTTTTAATAAGGCAAAATTTATAATTAATTCATTTATTTTCCTTTCAATACAAAATAACTCTATAGTCAATTTCCTATCTAATTTATACTTCTAAATTAAATGGTAAGTAAAGAATATTTCCTAAACATATAAATAATTTTATCTAATTAAATTTTTAATTATGATAATAATCAATAAATAAAAATTATTTTTTATTGTTTAAATTTATTAAATTGGAATATCATCATTAATTCTAATGATGGTTTCAACATCGAACATAATAGTTTATATAACTCTATAAGATTTTATAAATAAACAATAATTAAGAAAAAATTTTAATTTTTACTAAAAGATCAAAATTAGCGTTCTACATGCACTAATATTTATCTATTCTTTAGCTAGCATTCAATTATAATTAACTGCCTAAAATAAAATTAGAAATTTTATGAGATTCAATTGCTATTTTATAATCAAGGCTGGGCATTTAAAAGAAAATTAGAATATTATTTTACTATTTTTTTAAAATGCTTTTGTTTAACCAAACCCCCATTTTTTTTTAAGTAGATCACAAATTATTTTAACAAATCAAAGATACTAGGCATAATAAGATTTATAACATTAATAAAAAATGAGCGATAAAAATTAAATGCTTAGGCTTTTTTATCTAATAATTTTTATGTATTTGCAAATTTTTTACCAATTTCAATATTTATTGAATTTATTAAAAAATTAGAGCAGCTATTATAAAAATAATTGATTACAACTTATCATTAGACACCTGTATTTTCAATATTCGTTTGAATATAAACTTAGAGTTAGGAAATCTATACTAACAAAAATTTTGAAGCATCAATGAATTCTCAAATATTACATAAAGACTTTGATATTTATGATAATAATCCATTATTTTCATTCATTTATCTCTTCAAAAAAATAATCATGTTATATTATTTTCTTAATTATTTTAATAATATCATATATTTTTTATGATAATTAAAAAAATTTACAATAATTTGAATAAAGAGATAAGTTATTTAGTCTTAAGCAAAAAATCAGAAATAAGTGATGGCCAATAAGATTATTAATTCTTCCAAACTTATAAACAGCAATGAATATTATCTTGAGATACTTTCCAAATACAAATTCGATATACTTAATTGAATTTAAGGAGTAAGATATAGTTAATTAGGAGCTCTAGGGAGGGTATTTTAATTACTGAGGCAGTTGCTATTGTAATGGAGTTTAGAATGGTATTGCTACTGGTTTGGAAACTTTCGTTTATTAAGCATAAGGAGCAAATTAATTCGAATTTTGTCCAAAATTATATAATAGATAATTAGTGTTAGGATATTATTGATGATACCAATATTATTGTTGTTATTATTTTCGACACAATTGATGTTAATTATTAATAGGTAAAAGTAAATTACTTTTAGCCAAGGATAATTAGTAAAAAGAAAGAGGAAGATTTAATAATTATAAGATTATAGCATTATTTTTTGATACAATTGTTGTGAATATTAAGGTATTTCTTAATTATAGAAACAGTTATAATTATTGGTTTAGCATTTCTATTGCATCTACTAAATTTGTTGAAAATGAAATGGGAAAAATAAAATAATGGCCAAAAATTATTCCTTAGCAACTTTTTTGATTATAATAACTTTCTAAGAACTTACTTTTAGATGTTCATCCATTTATGGCCAAGAATTTTGTGGATCAATAACATTAATATTTTGACATAATATTTTAGGCGAAATACTTTTTATTTTAACATTTTAATTTGAAACTTAAAGCAATTTGGTTTGGAATGTTTATTGGATCTTTAACTTATGATATTATAAATTTTATAAATTTAATTCAGAAAGTCAAGTTGAGATAAGTAAAAAAAAATTTAGCTTTACATGAATTATAGATACAATTGTTACAGAATGAATGCTACATTTAATAGCTCTTTATTGATATTTTAATAACTCCAATCAAATTTCCCTTCTAAATTCTTTTTCATATTATTCAAACATAAACTAAATACAGATTAATATAAATACTGAAAATTCCTGGATAATTTTAAATCATGTATTATAATCCATTATGAATAATATAAATTATTGTAAACAAGAAAAAATAACTGATTTTAATAAAAAAGATTTTATCAATAGCATTATTTATTTTCTAGAAGACATGTTTGCGAGAAGGATTTTAATTCCTTCATAAATGATGCACATTTTAAGTTAAATCGTGATTTTCTTGAAATTAAATTATTTATATAAAAAGAATAAACAATCATTAATATAATAAAATAGCAAACTAAATTTAAGCCCTGTACTTACACTCAAATGGTGAAGAATTCTTAAAGGTATCATTAATTATTTATTTAATTGTTAACTAAGTGAACTCTAATTCCTATTTATTAGATATTCTAAATTTTTATTGATTAATTATAATCATGAACTCTATAATAACATTTTGTTTATTTTAATAAAAAATTTTTGAAAAAAATAAGAATATATCCTCTTTATATTTTAAATTTCTGATATATTCAAGAATAACAAATAAAAATATCTAAATTATATGAAATTATTTTTTATTCAAGTTGGATGCACTTAGCTATCTGTTTTTGGGCTACAAACAGTTATTATTAACATTAATAAAATAATTATGAGTATGATACCAAATAAAAATCCATAAAAAATACTAAATAAACCAAAATTTATGCCATAAAAAAAACCCAAAACACCTTTTGTACAATCACTAGTAAATTTATATTTCTTTGTAGGTATAAAAGGAAACAAAGAGAGAATATAGCTGCTCCTATTTCACCAATTAATGTGTAAGTAATATATTGACTCAAACTATCTGAAGCTTCAATCTCTTCCTCATATTGAGCTCTTATAATAAACAAATATATTGTCACTGAAAGGGTTCCCGCAAATAAACCAAGAATAATTTGTTTAACTCCTCCTTGTTCATAATAATCCTACTTTTTGTTATCTACACAATAAGATTTACACAATCCTAATAAATTCATTACCAAATTTATAAGGAATAAAATAAAGGTCATAAATTCTAAATATGTCCATTCAGTTTATGTAAAATAGATTATTCCAATAAATAACTAAATTATATCCATATATTTATATCTTTGTTCTCTTTTATTAGTTTCTGAATCACCTTTTAAAAAATAAGGCATTTCAAAAATGATGATGAATAAGTGAAAAATAAACCATGCTACAATTTATGAAATGAATTCAGTCCAAGTATAAGTACTTAAATCTCTTCATAGAATCGTGAATAGAAAAAATAATATTCTACAAAACATGCCAATCGAAATATTATTATCAAGCCTTTTTATATCAACTATTCCACAACAACATGATAATAACGCATCTGCAAAGTCTATAAAGCTCGAGGTTTTCATAAAAAAATATTATTTATAAACAATTAAAATTTAAATTTTGTAAATAAAAAAAATACTACTTATCCAATACTTGTTAACCACATTTAACAAGACTTTCTTTAATACTGAAATAATTGATTCTGATGAAAAATTTATATCATTGAAAAATTTACCCATAAAAAAATAATTTGTATCCAAAATTTTATTAAATAAAAAAATAAAATTAATCCATTAAAAATCTGATCCATTTGAAAAATTTGAGCGCATAAAAATTATATCCAAAATAAAATTAATTAAGATCATCCTTGTAAAAATGTATCTTTTAATATGAATTTTCTCTTATAAATTCAAAAAAACCCATCAAAAAGAGTTCCGATATTCGACAGCTCATCAGTTGAACTAAGCAAGGAACATTCAACCTCAAACTTTCAATAACAGAGAGGTAGCGAGAATAATCTAGCATTTCATACATTAGAAACATAATCTAATCTATTCAGCAATTTATATTTATCAACTTAATCTCTTTTTTAATTTAATATTAAAATAAATATTCAGTTAATATTTTTAATTTGATTTTTCATTAATAATGAAAATTAATTCTTTCAAAATTTTGTTTCTTATAATTATTCTTAAGAGTCAAGTCTATTTTGGAATGTCTAAACATAAATCCATTATATGATTATCTATTTGTTTTTTTCTTTATTTTTATTACCAATTTTTCACTATAAATTTTATAAATATTCTCAGAAAAACTCTGTAATTTGGAATAATGTGATAATGATTAGGTGATTGTTTATGAGTTCATGGTTTTGGCTGATCTCATTCTTCTGCTGATATTTTGTATAATTTTTATAATAAGTATTTTATTTTACTTTTAAAAGAATAAATAACAAATAAATTAAATTTTGTGATTTAAATTTTAAATGAATTATATTGACTTTATAAAAAAAATAGAAGAAGTAATTTTAATTTCTATCCCAAAAATTTATAAATAATTACTATTATATGTTTTAGATATAGAAATACTGTCATTCTGATTATATCCTTTATTTTATAATCAAAATTTTGACAAAAGCGAATTCAAATAAGATAAAGGTCTAAGGTATTTCAGGAAAACTTATATCTTGAATCTCTATACTATACTAGAAAATATCTACGAAATCTTTGACTTATTTATAAAATATTTTATTATTTTTTTATAGAATTATTTTCTGTTTTAATTCTATATTGGCACTTCTACATTAAATTAGATTTTTAATCTATGTATATATAGATAATAATAACCTTTTATTAGACTTCAAAAAGGGTGGTTTTTGTTGATCCTGGTTGGATCAATAATTTTTAATTTAATTGACTTCATGACTGCTGTGCTTATCCCAATTTCATTTTAAAGAAAATTATGTATTTTCTTGACAATTATTATTGAAACAGAAACCATGTATTTCATCTTCCTCATGACTTTCTTATTAAACAAGAACTCAGAATCGTTTTCCATTTGATAAATTTACTTTATACAAAATTATATCATATTTGATTTAATGTAAAGTCTGATTAAATACAATATTTAATTCTATTAGCTTTATAACTCTTTCAGATTTGAAATTATAATTATTGAACTAATGAAGAATTATAAAATATACATTTAAATAATTAATCATAAATTTTATATAATGAAAATCAATTTAGAATTCAAATTATTTTTGGGAACTTTATTTTATTATTCTTAATATTGCTTTTCTATTAAAGATTTTGAGAAATCTATGAAATTTACATAGATAATTACAATTATTATTTATAGATATAATCAAGGATCATAGAGATAAAATAATTTAATAAATCTAAGAAAGAATTTCAAAAGTTTGGTAATTAATTATTAAAACCAATTCAATAAATCTCAATCTATATTATTGCAATTCTATTTTTACTATATTTTCAGAAATAAGTAGATTGAAAATTTTAAATTAATTTATAAAGAATTATAAATATTTCTACATTTAAAAATAAGTGATGAGATTCTAAACAATAATAATATTTTTAAGATTTGGGTAAATACAATCAAATTTTGATTGTTTATAATGAAATACTTTAGGTTAAAAAGACATGATGTTTTACTAAAATAGTTAATATTAATATTTATAAGGATCTGGAGAATTACATCAAGAATAATTATTTAACAAAATGGCCATCTAATAGTAAAAGTATTTCGAATATAATTTTTATCAAGATATAAATATAATTCAGAATTTAAGTGATGTTATAATAAATTATATATGATGATTAACTTAATTTGTAATACATTTATAATTAGATAAAAAGTTAATATCAATTTTATATATATGTTATATAAAATAAATTAAGGAGATTCTTTCATATTTTTAAACAAGATTAAAATATGAAAGATATTCTGATTATTTATTTGGTATATATATAAATGTTTTATTAATAATTAAATATAATAATGGAAATTTTAAAAGCAGAAGATAAAATTTTAAAAGTTTCAAATGATATTGATGATTATGAGGATGAATAATTAATATCAGCCATTTTAAATATCACTTAAGAAGAATATTTAAATACAATTTTCAAATTAAAAGGCTATGGATCTAAATAATTCTGTGCCAAAACTATTGAAGAATCAGAAATGTATTACAAATGTTTTGATTGCTGCAAAATTCCTTACCATGCCATTTGTAAAGAGTGCTTAATTCCTGAAATTCATAAAAGTTAATTGAAAATATATTGTTAGATCATGCTGTCCTTTATAAGTAATATTCATTTGAAATTCCAGGATTTTGCGATTATGGTGATAAAATGTATTTTGATAAAAATTCTATGTGTTCTAAACATAATCATAGTTCCATAAAGTTGAAGGATTATTAAATAGGTTGTAAATAAAATTATAGATATTAGGTGATGATAAAGTTATATAAAATTATGAATAATTTTTAATAATTTCTTTTGGATTATTATAGAAGAAATTAGAATAAATAGTTGATTATCCAGCTGATCTATTAGAGAATATAGAAAATGTAATAGAAAGTTTAAACAATGATATATTGAAGAATTATTATAATTCTCATAAAAATCATTTCTAATCTATTTAGAATTCTATGAGATAAGCAAAATAAATTCATAAATTAATATTAAGATGTTTAGAAATTATAACAACTGATAATGTAATCTTGGGTTAATTTACAGCTAAAATTTTAAACTAATAAAAATAATGTAAAATAAATGATTAAGAGATTGGATCAACCTCACTTTTGGAATAATATATTAAATATAGTGGGCATTTAGTTGGATCACTCCAATTTAATGAGGATATTTCAACATTTTTTCCTCTTTTATTTTAAGAGGATGAATTTCGATAACATCTTGTAAAAGTTGTGATCTAAAATTTTTCGTCTTGGTGTCTTTTGATTAATTCTTACAAATTAACTAGCACTAAAAATGAAGAATTCTAATTATAAACATATTCAGAAATTAAAGATTAAAAATTAGCTGTTTTAATCAAGGAAATACTTGCCTGTAGCTAAATCAAATAAATTATACTTAACAATACAATAATTTAGAGTTCAATTTTAGAAAAGTGTTATTGTTATAGTTCGGGAGGCTACATTGAAATACTGAAGTAATACGAAAATATCAGAAATCCAATATGCTATAACCTATTTGAAAAAATCTCTGATCTGCTCTTAAAAATGTAAAAATTATAAATAATTTAGCCCATTAATAAACAAATCTTCTTTGGGTTATCTAATACTATTGGTTATTTTTTAGAATCAATGATCAAAAACAAATAATGTGTGAATGAATTAGTTAATTAGATTCAAGAAATTCTTTCAATAGATGCTCATTCCTTTTAATCTTAAATATTAAATCCAAATTCACTTGTGTTTTAGAAATTATTAAATTAATCTTTATTGATTTACTCATTAACTAGGAGGAATCCATGTACACAAAAGAAAAATTTTAATTTAGAATATCGGTCTGAAGAAGAAGATGATGAATTATCTTTAGATTACTTAATAATTCTATTAATCTAAAATTTATCTTCATATAGATTTGATTTAAAATCTATGATATTGGCTATTGGGCATTTAAGTTCAAATGAAGTTTAAAATATATAAAGAATAATCTTACATTATTTTCTTAATAGTTTAGTAACAGTATTCAATTTAAAATATTAAACTCCGCTGCAATTAATCCTATCTAATCTAGTCATAAGTGATAGAAATTTTATAATTGTTTTATCAATATACTTAATGAATTTTACAAATTCTAAAGAAGCATATGATAATATCCTACAAATTAGTGGTTAAAGTAATTAATAGTTAAGATTAATTATGAGTTCTATCTTAAAAAGAGCCCTTTTAAATTATTAGATTTTTTAAAATAATGAATACTACTTTGGTAAATAAACCTATTTGGATGATTTAGATGATGAAGTATCCCTTTAAAAGGTTGATATAGCTTATATCTAAATTTATGCTTTTCTATTTTAAGAATAGGGAATCAATGATATTGTTTAGTATAATATTGAAATCTCATCTTATCTTAAATAAAATGAAAATTCTACTTTATTAATTTGTACAATAGCTTAAACTGATAATGATTTAATATAATGTGTTGGAAGTATTTTTGGGAATTAATTAACTGTATAATTAAAAAAAGGATTGGCTAAATTATTTTAAACAATATTTTATTCTTAAACATTTTATTAATTGAATGAAATGAAGATTATTCTTAAATCATTTAGTTATGAAAATTATACAGATTTTGAAACTTTTATTTTGAGTTGTTGTGAAATGAATTAAGATAATGGATAATTATAATTAAGAAAAGAATTTAAATTACCTATTTATGAACCAATGTATGCCTAATAAAATGAATTGATTAAAGAAAAAATCAATGATAAATTATAAATGTAGAATGATAAATATGCTGAATTGTTTGGATCATCATTATAATATGAGTTATAATATTATAACACAGATAAATCAACTCTTACTAATATTAGATATGAAATACTTAAAGCAATATCACTTGATAATTAATAGTATTTACTTGAAAGAATTCTAAAAGATTTAGAAAATATTTTTTAATAAAAAATTGATTTTGATATAATAGTGGAATAATCAATTAAGATTTTATAGGACAATGCTGTTTATATTAATTTGTTAATTTTATCGAATTCATTTTTTAAGGCCTCTAATATTATGATTTAAAATAGATTGGATAAAATTTAACATTATTGCTAAATAATTTTATCTAGTTAAAAGATAAATCATTCTTAAAAGTCCTTTTTTCAAGTCTATTGCTAAAAATTACAAAACTAAAGTATAATTTAAAAATAGGATGAAGCTGATCATTAATCTAAATCTGAAAAGCATCAATAATATAAATAATAATTCCAATAGAAATTCAATTTAATGAAGGATAATTTTAATAACAATATTTTTAATAATACTTATCATATAGAAGATTCTGATGATAAATGTTTATTCTGTAAATTACCATTTAAAAAAGCAGATCTATAATACTTACCAATTTTAATTTAATACACAAATGTCTATTAATATTTAAATATTTTTTAATTTTAGCCTACTTAAGAATTCAAAATGTTATCTATGCATGTTTCTAATTGTAACCATATTTTTCATGCTGATTGTTTGAAAAAATAAATCTTATCTTTAATTGAAAAGAATCAAAAATGCTATTAATGCCCTTTGTGTTATTCTACTTATAATTTTCTGTTACCAAATTCTTAGAACCTAGAAAATTTAGAAACTAAAGATTTTGAATTGTCAATGTATATTCTCATATAATCAGTCTATGACAACTATTAATAAATTTTTTAGGAAATAGACGAGAATGTGGAATATAAGATAGAATTTCTAGATGAAATTCTATCTTAAATATTATGTAATTTAACATTCTAATTATTGAGTGACTTAGAGAATTTTATTTAAAAGAATCAACATCTTTTTATATAAAAAATTATAAATTTGATGAGATTGTTTTACATCAAGCAGAATTCTAATCTAATTGAAAAATGCAAATTTAATGAAAACGAAACGCTCTTCCAAATTTTAAAATTAATTTAAACACATCTGATAAAAAAGCATAATATCAATAATTTTTAGTCTAACCTTTCAATATTACTAAATAAAAATTTTGAATTGGCTTAAGCAATATTTGAAGTATTGACTTAAAGAAAAATCAATAAATATATTAATAATAAATTATTACCTTATGACATTTAAGTAATTAAGGATTTATTCAAAAAAAAAAGATTAAATTTTTTAACAAATAACTTTAGTTCATTTTTAAGTAAGAATTACTTACTTCCTTGTTAAAAGAAAAATTGCTAATTTCCTAAATTTAAATTGGAGACTAAATATCAAGGATAATATATTTGTCTTATATGTTTAAAAAAAATGTGTCCAGAATATTGTGGAAAACTTAAACAAGTAATTATGTAAAATTTATATTTAAGTAAAATCTTGGAAATTTATAAAGACACTCTCAGAAAAAACATTTCAGGAAATGTGTGTTTCTTGATGTAGAGAAAAGCTAAGTTTTATTAATATAATCCTCTTCTTATTTGTTTATGGACAATACTTTATTTATAAATAAAATAGGAGATTCACCTATCAAAGGTCCTTATCCATTATAACATTATCAGAAATTTTAAATAAATATGAAAGCTTTAGATCAAATATTTGAGATAATTATGGAAGAGAAGTACTAAAAAAAATTAGATCAAAATTAAGAAAATGTACAAACACAAGAAATTTGATGAACTTATATTTTTAATACTGATTTTCATCATTAATTTCTATAAAAAATGGGCAATAATAATATATATATATAAATATATCTCTCTTTTTCTTTCTCATTAAATTTTAATATTATTATAAATGAAAAATTAATGATAATTTTTCATACGTTTATAAGATACTTGATGATTCAATTTACTTAACAATTATTTTGGGTTTAAACATTCTTTTAGGTTAAATGGTTAAAATATTACTAAAGAGAAATTTAGGATTGTATCAAATTAAAAATACAATATTTTTAAATTGATTTAATAAATCAATAATTAATACATTTATAATTGCAGTCAAAATTTTATGTCTAAAATTGATTTTATTTAAATAGCAGTATATTTTCCAATCAAATCAGATAAGTCTTAGACTTAAGCTTCAATATCTATTAATTCTTCTTAAATTGAAGTTTCAATAAAATCGTTATTAAAATATAGTTTTACAACTAGAATATGAATAGTTTCCAAGTTTTCCAGTTGGTTATAAGATTAGTTAGGAGAATAAATCAAAAATCAGTCCATCATTGGGTTTTTTAACATTTTAATAAATAATCCTTAATTTACAAGTGTTCTGGCATTTCACATGTTTTAGATCATCAATTTACAACATTAATTTCGAAAATTCTAAAAGAAATTTTTGGGTCGTGTTAAAGAGGGAAGTCATCATGTCTCCAATTTATCGGATATCCAAATCCTTAGATTTCATGGAAGCTTTTTAACTCAATGGTAATTTGCCTTAAGTTATTAATCATAAATACCATTTTTCCTTGTAGACTAAAACATAAAATATGCTTTTTACATCATCCTCATAACCTAAGTATTCTCCTTAATATGATGCTCTGCTTGCAAAATTATAAGATCCAACTAATACATTTTGTAAAATTTTGAATTATCTATAGTTTGAGATAAGCTAAAAACAATAAGTTAGAAGGTTTTAGTAATTATTCTTTTGAATATTTTACTAATATTTTTGTAACCATAATATTATCTGGTTTAACATTAAGAGGTAAGATTTTTTGATGTGCTTATTCTAATTTTTAATGATACTTAATTCGATAGTCAATGTACAAGATAAAGAAAAATCTTAAGGTTTAACTAAATCTGTAAGATACAATTTAGTTATGGCATTATAAGAAATCCTCTAAATTGATTAAATTACTCATACTTATTGTATGCAGCCTTTCCATGTTCTATTAAATGTGGAATTCCTTCTATCTTATTTAACTCTTTTAGGATTTTAATCTTGCTTTCAATTAGACCTTAAATTTGTATTTTTCCATTTTTTGTGCAAATACTTTTTAAGCGAGATTATTTTTTGCTTTATCCACTAAATGTGCTGATCCTTATCCAATCATCAAAAGTATCTGATATGAAGAAGTTTGAACATACATTATTGGAACTATTTATAATAATTTGATATATAAGAACAAAATTCTTGTTAAAACTTAAAATTTTAAAGTATCAGCTAACATTTAATTCACTTTGAATTTTACACATCAATTCATTTTTTAGAATTTTATCAATTAGTATTATTAATAGCAAAATAATAGAATTTAAATGTGTTATTAATTATAAAATTAAATTAAAGATCGAAAATGATTACGTTTAAAGTATAAACTATTTTTACAATTAAATTTTTCATAATTATACTGAACATATTAATTTATATATATATTCGATCATTATTGTAATTACTAAGAAATTTATTTTTATTAAATAACTAGAAGTAAGTAAATTAAAAACAATTTATTGTTATTTTATAAACTTGTTTATAATTAATAGAGCTCTATAATTCTATAAAATGAATTAGCTGACCAAATATTATTCAAAGAAAATCAATATAATTAAAATAGTTATATTAAAGTTTTTTATTAGTAAAGGGAGCTAATAACCTATTTCTACTTTATCAATATTTAATGAATGTGGATTTAATTTATTTCATAGTAATATTAATTGTATCCTTTTAATTATTATAATAAACAAATGAATTGAAATTTCAGTAATGGGAGTAGTAATTTAACATTGCATCAAATCCATAAATATGTATTGATAATAATCAAGGCTAAGATTGAAATTATATTAATAGATTCTTAAATAGTTTCTACAATTACAATAATGTATATCTGTTCATAAAAATATATTAAGATTTAGCTATAATTATCACTCCTAAAATCTATATAGTAATTTAATAATTTACTCCTAAAATGAAAAATACAAGCATTTGTTCATCAGTTATAGTTTTTTACAAAATAAATTAGATCAGACTATTAAGAGAAATCATAAATGATCCAAAAGCAGCAGTGGCAGCTGCTTCTCTTGCTATTATTTTTTATGATAATAAAAAGGTCACCATAATTAAACCACCTCCCATACCTAACAATCCTGTGCTGAACCCAGCTAAGAAACCACCCAAATAATAAAAAAAGAATTATTTTTTTCTCTTTAAAGAATCCCTAATTTGGTCTATATTATACTATATCTTTATAATATTCTTCATTTCTTTTACTCCAATAAACAAAAAATGTATAAGTAAGATTTATTCCAATTATTGCTAATAAAATTAGATTATTTTCAAGAGTGCGTTTATCTAAATCAATTATTGAATTATTATGTTTATTAGATTTCATAAGGATAATAGTTTGATTAACAAAAATAGATACAAAAATAAAACTTAGATTCTTTATCTAAAATTTTTTATGGTCATTTTTATGAAATTGTTAATACTAATTTAGGAGCTTTTCATAAAAATTTTTTTCATTTGCCATATCTTCTTCCTAAGTCTTTATTTTTTAATTAACCAATATGATATTTTCTTTCTTATCTTATTCAAGTCTTTTCTATAAATGTGCTATAAATAAATAACATTTTATTACTGAATTTCCATTAAAATGGAATGGCACCTAATAAAAAACACAATTATATTAGGTATATAATAAATTTTGGAGATCTTTATTGTAGAAATGCTCCAGCACTCCATGCTAATGGAATTGTTTAATTTAAGATTATGCTTATATCAAAATTTATTAATGGTAAATTATGATGATCTGGATGTCTATTATTTTTTTATATTTGATTTACTTTTCAAAAAATAAAAATAATGAATTCAATGCCGATGTTGTAAATAAGAAACAATCTGCTACTTGAGTTGATATACTTGAAGGATAATTCAATAAAAGATTTAAAATAGGCCTTTTAATCCTACAACTTCCTAAATAACCCATAATACTAGTCCTCAACAAAATAGGAATAAAAAAATAAACAAAACTTGTATAAGGAGTTAATTCTAATATAGGATCATGAACACATGAATAACTTATTTAATCACTCTCATAAGTACTCAAAAGCCAACATCATTTATCAGGATCACATTCTTAATTATTCATTTATTTAAAATAATATATTTTAATTCATTCATACAATCAATCAAAAAAATATGAAACATTTGAAATACTAAGATTTTCCAAAATATATTAATAATAGAATTTTTTAATATAAAAATTAACTTAAAAATAATTATACTTAACCAGTCAATACCTTAAAATTATAAGTGATAATGGAGAAAAAATTATTTCTATTATAGGATTAATTAAAAGGCTATTAATCAATTATAATAGGAGTACAAATAATCAGATAGTATTAAGAAATAGCTCTATAATAATATAAAAAGGATATTATTAATTAATTAAACTNGAAATCATAAATGATCCAAAAGCAGCAGTGGCAGCTGCTTCTCTTGCTATTATTTTTTATGATAATAAAAAGGTCACCATAATTAAACCACCTCCCATACCTAACAATCCTGTGCTGAACCCAGCTAAGAAACCACCCAAATAATAAAAAAAGAATTATTTTTTTCTCTTTAAAGAATCCCTAATTTGGTCTATATTATACTATATCTTTATAATATTCTTCATTTCTTTTACTCCAATAAACAAAAAATGTATAAGTAAGATTTATTCCAATTATTGCTAATAAAATTAGATTATTTTCAAGAGTGCGTTTATCTAAATCAATTATTGAATTATTATGTTTATTAGATTTCATAAGGATAATAGTTTGATTAACAAAAATAGATACAAAAATAAAACTTAGATTCTTTATCTAAAATTTTTTATGGTCATTTTTATGAAATTGTTAATACTAATTTAGGAGCTTTTCATAAAAATTTTTTTCATTTGCCATATCTTCTTCCTAAGTCTTTATTTTTTAATTAACCAATATGATATTTTCTTTCTTATCTTATTCAAGTCTTTTCTATAAATGTGCTATAAATAAATAACATTTTATTACTGAATTTCCATTAAAATGGAATGGCACCTAATAAAAAACACAATTATATTAGGTATATAATAAATTTTGGAGATCTTTATTGTAGAAATGCTCCAGCACTCCATGCTAATGGAATTGTTTAATTTAAGATTATGCTTATATCAAAATTTATTAATGGTAAATTATGATGATCTGGATGTCTATTATTTTTTTATATTTGATTTACTTTTCAAAAAATAAAAATAATGAATTCAATGCCGATGTTGTAAATAAGAAACAATCTGCTACTTGAGTTGATATACTTGAAGGATAATTCAATAAAAGATTTAAAATAGGCCTTTTAATCCTACAACTTCCTAAATAACCCATAATACTAGTCCTCAACAAAATAGGAATAAAAAAATAAACAAAACTTGTATAAGGAGTTAATTCTAATATAGGATCATGAACACATGAATAACTTATTTAATCACTCTCATAAGTACTCAAAAGCCAACATCATTTATCAGGATCACATTCTTAATTATTCATTTATTTAAAATAATATATTTTAATTCATTCATACAATCAATCAAAAAAATATGAAACATTTGAAATACTAAGATTTTCCAAAATATATTAATAATAGAATTTTTTAATATAAAAATTAACTTAAAAATAATTATACTTAACCAGTCAATACCTTAAAATTATAAGTGATAATGGAGAAAAAATTATTTCTATTATAGGATTAATTAAAAGGCTATTAATCAATTATAATAGGAGTACAAATAATCAGATAGTATTAAGAAATAGCTCTATAATAATATAAAAAGGATATTATTAATTAATTAAACTAAATACTTTTATTCATAGAATCATTGACTCAATTTCGATGATAATGAATAAAAATACTTGATTCTATTAAATTCTATAATCAGAGTTAATATAAATTACTATTGACTTCTTTATAATTTTTTGCTAAAAATCATCCAATTATAAAAATTATGCTTTTGCCATTATTACATTACTCAATAGTTTGGAAAAAATTAAATATTTTAACTTAATAGTTAAGGAATTCACTTCCAAATGAAAAATATTCTAAAATAATTTATCTATTTTTCATAATTAAAATAAGTTTAAATTTTTCAGAATTAATTACATAGACTATAATGGGCTGATGAATTTGTGACGCACTATATTACCAAAATATTCAATATTATTTACAATAAATTTAATTAATAAATCAATAAATTTAAAGATTTTTATTTCTAGATGAAAGCAATATAAATTTAAAATGAATTAGAGTATGAAACCTTATTTGTAAAATTTCTTGTATAAGAGACTATCTTTAAATCTATTCATCTTAAAAAAATCGAAGTTGACTGAATCCCAATTAAAATTATTTTTTCAGAGAAGTTATTCAAAATTCAATAAATCAATCTCTGAAAATATTCTTTAAATAATATTATCATTCATAATTTGAGTATATGTATTGATTTTTGAATAAACAATTATCAATTATTATTAATATAAAATATTTTTTGAAAGATAGCTTAAATAACTAAAATGAATGTAGGATCATACAATTACAATAAAGATTTGACTTTGCATTAGGGATTAATTTAAATTCTTTAATTTAAATAGCAAATTCATCAAATTTTTAAGTAATTATTCTCTTTTTTAAAAAAGAATTAGAGAGTCTAAAACACCATTCTAACTTAATAATCACTAATAATAATAAATAATAATAATAAAGAATGAATTCGCATATTAATTGAATATTATTTATAATATAAAATAAGATAGAATATTTTTAATTGATTTCTGATTAATTCTGAATCAAAAAATATTTTAAGGAAAATCTTTTTTTTGATTTAAAAAAAATATATAAATGTAAAAGTAATCTATAAGCTCAAACAAAATCAGATAGCCAACCGAGATAGGAGTGAGTCGAGAATGCCAATTTCAGTTAAAGAATAAGAGAAAAAATAATAAGAGAAAAAAGAATAATAGTAGGAAGTAGCAGTAAGTATTTGTGCCTAATTGTAGCCTGTTAATCCTTCAAAAGATAATGAAGACATAAAACCTCGCAAAGAATAACAAGTCTTATCTTCTTTATTAAGGTATTGTAAATCTCGTCCTGACCCTGAACTAGTTTGGGAGCCTCATCAAAATAAATAATTGATGAGCGAATTCTAAGAGTTAATAGAAAATCGTTTTAAAGAGGTTAAGAGAAGTTCAAGCATTTATAAATACAATGCTAAAATAGGATTTTAGGCCTTTATATATCTCTTAAATATTCTTGAACTTATCTTTACATTAAGTTATGGTTCATATAATGAAATCACTAATGATAATACATACTATGAGACATGTTATAATTTATCAATAATTTTATGTGTTTTACTTCACAGTGGAACCTGGATGTACACTTATAAATTTAGGGAAGTTGTTAGAGAAAGTTTTTTTGTTTAAATTGCTTATTATATATTCTACTTGATTATGGGAGTATTGAGTTATTTTAAACTAGCTCCATTTATTTATTATATGAATAGAGATTAATCTATTAGATAATTCTCATTTAGTGAAATTAATAAATATTTGTAGTTAAGTGGGGAGGATAAATTTAGAAATCCATGTAGACTTTTTAAAGAAAGAACTAAACCTGTTAATATCTTTAGGGATTTAATATTTCATAGAGTAGCTCTTGTTTCCATGATTATTACAATGACAATTTAAACAATTCCTTAACTTTTTATATAAGGCTTTTATAACACTTAAAAAGAATCATGGGATGGATTTAATGTGTTTAGTTATTTATTTTTAATGAGTAATTTAATCTATTATTTATTGGAATTATAATTTATTGTATTCACTACAACTTATAGATAAATGTAAACAGAATTGCAATTTAAACTGTAGAAAATTTTATTATATTCAATTTAAGAAACAAAACAATTATTTAAATCTGATTTAAATTATATGGGATTTGTCAAATCATTTTATTTTCATATTGATCCTAGTGCATTTAGTCCTTATTAAAAGAAAAGATGTATGATTTAAATTTTATATTTCTTGATGAAATAGAAGAAAGTGAAGAATATTGAATTTCATTATATTGATTTATATCATGAAGTAACATTATAATATTTAGCTAATTGTTTTTAATTGATTAAAGTAGAATCAATCAATCTTTTATATTCTAATGATAATAACTTAGCATAAATAAATCGTATTTTCCGGGGTATAAACAATTTGAAAATTGAAAAATAAACTTCTTCAAATCTTAATACTAAATGGGAAGCTGACAATATTGATCTGAATGCATCAGATGAAAAAANAAATCTATTCATCTTAAAAAAATCGAAGTTGACTGAATCCCAATTAAAATTATTTTTTCAGAGAAGTTATTCAAAATTCAATAAATCAATCTCTGAAAATATTCTTTAAATAATATTATCATTCATAATTTGAGTATATGTATTGATTTTTGAATAAACAATTATCAATTATTATTAATATAAAATATTTTTTGAAAGATAGCTTAAATAACTAAAATGAATGTAGGATCATACAATTACAATAAAGATTTGACTTTGCATTAGGGATTAATTTAAATTCTTTAATTTAAATAGCAAATTCATCAAATTTTTAAGTAATTATTCTCTTTTTTAAAAAAGAATTAGAGAGTCTAAAACACCATTCTAACTTAATAATCACTAATAATAATAAATAATAATAATAAAGAATGAATTCGCATATTAATTGAATATTATTTATAATATAAAATAAGATAGAATATTTTTAATTGATTTCTGATTAATTCTGAATCAAAAAATATTTTAAGGAAAATCTTTTTTTTGATTTAAAAAAAATATATAAATGTAAAAGTAATCTATAAGCTCAAACAAAATCAGATAGCCAACCGAGATAGGAGTGAGTCGAGAATGCCAATTTCAGTTAAAGAATAAGAGAAAAAATAATAAGAGAAAAAAGAATAATAGTAGGAAGTAGCAGTAAGTATTTGTGCCTAATTGTAGCCTGTTAATCCTTCAAAAGATAATGAAGACATAAAACCTCGCAAAGAATAACAAGTCTTATCTTCTTTATTAAGGTATTGTAAATCTCGTCCTGACCCTGAACTAGTTTGGGAGCCTCATCAAAATAAATAATTGATGAGCGAATTCTAAGAGTTAATAGAAAATCGTTTTAAAGAGGTTAAGAGAAGTTCAAGCATTTATAAATACAATGCTAAAATAGGATTTTAGGCCTTTATATATCTCTTAAATATTCTTGAACTTATCTTTACATTAAGTTATGGTTCATATAATGAAATCACTAATGATAATACATACTATGAGACATGTTATAATTTATCAATAATTTTATGTGTTTTACTTCACAGTGGAACCTGGATGTACACTTATAAATTTAGGGAAGTTGTTAGAGAAAGTTTTTTTGTTTAAATTGCTTATTATATATTCTACTTGATTATGGGAGTATTGAGTTATTTTAAACTAGCTCCATTTATTTATTATATGAATAGAGATTAATCTATTAGATAATTCTCATTTAGTGAAATTAATAAATATTTGTAGTTAAGTGGGGAGGATAAATTTAGAAATCCATGTAGACTTTTTAAAGAAAGAACTAAACCTGTTAATATCTTTAGGGATTTAATATTTCATAGAGTAGCTCTTGTTTCCATGATTATTACAATGACAATTTAAACAATTCCTTAACTTTTTATATAAGGCTTTTATAACACTTAAAAAGAATCATGGGATGGATTTAATGTGTTTAGTTATTTATTTTTAATGAGTAATTTAATCTATTATTTATTGGAATTATAATTTATTGTATTCACTACAACTTATAGATAAATGTAAACAGAATTGCAATTTAAACTGTAGAAAATTTTATTATATTCAATTTAAGAAACAAAACAATTATTTAAATCTGATTTAAATTATATGGGATTTGTCAAATCATTTTATTTTCATATTGATCCTAGTGCATTTAGTCCTTATTAAAAGAAAAGATGTATGATTTAAATTTTATATTTCTTGATGAAATAGAAGAAAGTGAAGAATATTGAATTTCATTATATTGATTTATATCATGAAGTAACATTATAATATTTAGCTAATTGTTTTTAATTGATTAAAGTAGAATCAATCAATCTTTTATATTCTAATGATAATAACTTAGCATAAATAAATCGTATTTTCCGGGGTATAAACAATTTGAAAATTGAAAAATAAACTTCTTCAAATCTTAATACTAAATGGGAAGCTGACAATATTGATCTGAATGCATCAGATGAAAAAATAAATGAGATCTAATTTATTGAAAATCCTAAAATAAATACTGGATGGTAAGCAGTACAAAAGAATTAATTTATTAAAGATGATTACATTTAACTTTCTGCAGAGTATTAAGCACTGATTCCAAACGATCTAAGAAGATCATTAAACGTCAATAGAGGAATTAGTGGTCTGATTGTTAATTAATTATCAAGAATTGAGGATAATTAACAAAATTTATTAGTATAAATAGAAACAAATGAATAAATAATTATTGATGCAAAAAATTAAATTGACAGTATAACGAAAAGAGATCTATATGCATAATCAGTTGGAAATATTTAATTTTTGTTAAAATTGTACGATTATTATGAAGTTTGGAGCAAATTGAATTAATATTAAGCAACTATTCAAACTTTTTGGTCGGTGCTGAATGGGTCCTTATAAATTGTTTCTTTAATTTATTTGAATAATGAACCTAATATGTTTATATCTGCATTAATAGCCTTAACTGCAATCAATCCAATATTATAGATGTTATCATTTGCAGTATTTTAATAGCGTGTTTTTAAAAATTTTTCACCTTTAAGATAACTGTCTTATATTCTTTTATTTGCAATATTTAACTTTTTAAAGATTTGGGATATCGTTATGATTTGTTTATTTTTAGCAGTAAAGAGATTCTCTGAAGATGTAAAGAGAAACTTTAGTGGTTAAGGATACTTAAAGTTCAAGAGTTATGCCTCAAAATTTTCAGGTAGTATAGCTACTTCAGTATTTTAGAATGAAACAGTTTAAACTGATCCTAATGATATTAAATAAATATAAAATTAGCCATTTTATGAGGCTGTAATGTGGAGAACAAATGTTGAAGAAGCTTTGAATAAAATTCCTTAGTTCTTTGTATATATTTTATCTTTAGCATCTACTCAATTAGATGGTATTTGGGTATTTTCTTTTGGTCAACAAATAAAAGAAGGTATATTTGCAGTAAAAGATTTATTAGAAGTTGTTATTAAAGACTATTTTATTCCAGCTTTAATTTTAAGTACAGTTTCAGTGGATTAATTTTTTTAATCTATGTTGTATTTGAGCTCAATATCAAATTAAATACTATTGGAATATCCTAAATCTTTTTAAATTGTGTCAAAAGTAAAATAACAATACTTAAAAGAAAAATTTACTTTTAAAATTAATGTGAAAACTTTAAATTTTACTAATTATGGAGATTTAAAAAAATAGAAGTTATTAGCATAATTTAGGTATGTTCTAGCTTCAATAAATACTATTTTAGAAATTGATTAAGCATAAAGATTGTTTTGTATGGGAGCTGAACTAAATGATTTAATAAGATGTTTAAAAGAGAGTCCATTGTATTAAATAAAGTTGAATTATTATTTGGATGAAGTAAAACCTGAACATATTCCTTACATTAATGCATTTATTAAAAATTGTCCAAAAAATTTACAATTCTTATAAATCCAAGTAGAATCTAGTAATGTTCAATAAATGGAAGTCTATGTAGAAAGAAATAATATTCTAACAGCCTTTTCTTATTCATATTTTTAAATTATACAATAATACAAAGATAAATCTGTAGTAGTTTAATAATAAACCTTGATAATAGATGAAAAATTTTTAAAGTTAGATAGGTACAATTTTGAGTAGTTTTATTTTGAAGTTTCTGGTAATCTTAATTTAAGAAATTGTCATAAACTCTTTGAAAATTTCGATAAATTGTAAGTTTTCAAGGTATCTATTTTCAATAATGCAGAAATTCAGACTTTTGAATTTTCTTAGAATTTAAGAAGTAGAGCATTGAATATTCTGGATATTACTTGTGAAAATATTATATTAAGCTTTAAGCAATATCCTTTTAATAATTTAACGTAATTTAAGATGATTTTGAAAAGGTGTGAATTTAACAAAGAGGAACTTAAAAGGATATTATAAGGTTTAAATAACAAAACAGAAGTTGTTTATATAGATATGTCATAATGTTTGTAGCGCTTTACAGTAACTGAATAGAAAGACTTAGTAAGAGGATTAGAAATTAAGAAGATTGATGCTTTCATAAAAATTTGATTATCATAAAAATTTTTAGAATTTCATTTGCATAAATCTATATAATGCTTTATAAACAATATTTAATTTATATAAAATTTTATTAATCTTTATAATTCTCTAAAATATATGACAATTGGTAATTTGATAATGAGGAATTATTTAAATCATGATTTAATTTTTTAGTTGATGAACAGAAGCTTTATAAAGTGAAAGCAATGGGATTTTTTGCTCCCAGAATTTATCTAATTGTTATTATCTAAATTTACTATTAACAATTAAGTTTTTAGATAAAATTATTGATAGTAGGATAAGTACTTTGAAATTATAGAAATATAATACTTTAACAATGAATAAAAGCTAATCTATAATTATAATTAATTTTAACCTCTTTTTTTAAGATAAATCCCAAATAGATCTAAATTCTCTCTAATTTTTTAGAAATAAATTATATTAAATTACAAAATATTATTGTATCATTCCTATAGTGACTAATTAGCAGGTCTTTTGAAATAATATTTAGCAAAAATACAGTGAATTATATCAGTGTATATATTCAATCTGATATTAAATTTAAGACTTGGTATTATATTTGAAGAATAGATAATGCATGTAAAATCGAATTAACTAGAAATCAGGAAAAAAATGTAACCAATTAGAATCTTGAAACCTCAATCATGAAAGCAAATTATTGGATAAGTAATAAATGTGTTGATTTGGATTATAAAATATCAGATTGAATTAAATTATTTCAAAGACATAATATTTTAATGTACATAAGTTAGGGGCTAAATAATAGTTACCATAGAGGTAGTATGAGTCTTTGCGCTGAAGTGAGACTAGATCTTCCGATTAAGGAAATATATATAGAAATAATAGTAATATCTAATTGAAGCTAAGACATATAAATTTATCAGCTCTATCTTGACATCATTAAGACAAAATAATTCTCTATTATCTGATAAAACAATTTTTATTTGAGGACATATCTATAAATTGGAGCTATTTTATATAATTATTAGGATTCTGTAAAAATTTCTAATTAGTCTCATTACTTTGTTTTTGATTTGGAATTTAAATAAAAGCTATTATAGAATTTAATTAGAAAACTTCTCAACTTAAATAAGGATTTAGATTAATGATGAAGTATGGGTCCAATTAAAGTTTAATAAAGTGAAATTCTGCTCATTATGATTTATTAGATATCACTTCTCTTTGGTGAACTAATTAGGAGTTGAGAGTTTGGTATAAGCATTTAATTTGCCCCAAGATGATTTTTTCCATTTTTGCTTTAATTAAAAATATAATATATTTTCTACTACAATCTCAAATATATTGCTTTAATTATTTAGTGTGAACTATTCTCTTTTATCTCATTAAATTTCATCTAATTTTATCTGTTTATTGCTTTGATCAATCTTCAATTATTTAAACTTCATGTTAATTATTATTATTTTTACAGATATTTTGGATATTCAAATTTTTAATTTAATTCTTTATATACTTAAAATTATTTTATTAAATTCGATTTTTTGATAGTCTACCTTTTATATCTATATTTGTACTCAAGTAGATGGTCTCTGTGATAATGATTACCATGAACAATTATTGAAAATCAGCAAATAAAACTGATTATATATTTCTCTTGCCAAAAAAATCAATTCATGTATACGCATTTATTATCTAAATATTTTCAAAAGTAATCAATAAGGAAGTGAGAAAAATAGAAATTTTAATTTTAATCTCCTGTACATTCTGGGTAATTAAGAATACTAGCATTGAATATTCTGGATATTACTTGTGAAAATATTATATTAAGCTTTAAGCAATATCCTTTTAATAATTTAACGTAATTTAAGATGATTTTGAAAAGGTGTGAATTTAACAAAGAGGAACTTAAAAGGATATTATAAGGTTTAAATAACAAAACAGAAGTTGTTTATATAGATATGTCATAATGTTTGTAGCGCTTTACAGTAACTGAATAGAAAGACTTAGTAAGAGGATTAGAAATTAAGAAGATTGATGCTTTCATAAAAATTTGATTATCATAAAAATTTTTAGAATTTCATTTGCATAAATCTATATAATGCTTTATAAACAATATTTAATTTATATAAAATTTTATTAATCTTTATAATTCTCTAAAATATATGACAATTGGTAATTTGATAATGAGGAATTATTTAAATCATGATTTAATTTTTTAGTTGATGAACAGAAGCTTTATAAAGTGAAAGCAATGGGATTTTTTGCTCCCAGAATTTATCTAATTGTTATTATCTAAATTTACTATTAACAATTAAGTTTTTAGATAAAATTATTGATAGTAGGATAAGTACTTTGAAATTATAGAAATATAATACTTTAACAATGAATAAAAGCTAATCTATAATTATAATTAATTTTAACCTCTTTTTTTAAGATAAATCCCAAATAGATCTAAATTCTCTCTAATTTTTTAGAAATAAATTATATTAAATTACAAAATATTATTGTATCATTCCTATAGTGACTAATTAGCAGGTCTTTTGAAATAATATTTAGCAAAAATACAGTGAATTATATCAGTGTATATATTCAATCTGATATTAAATTTAAGACTTGGTATTATATTTGAAGAATAGATAATGCATGTAAAATCGAATTAACTAGAAATCAGGAAAAAAATTGTAACCAATTAGAATCTTGAAACCTCAATCATGAAAGCAAATTATTGGATAAGTAATAAATGTGTTGATTTGGATTATAAAATATCAGATTGAATTAAATTATTTCAAAGACATAATATTTTAATGTACATAAGTTAGGGGCTAAATAATAGTTACCATAGAGGTAGTATGAGTCTTTGCGCTGAAGTGAGACTAGATCTTCCGATTAAGGAAATATATATAGAAATAATAGTAATATCTAATTGAAGCTAAGACATATAAATTTATCAGCTCTATCTTGACATCATTAAGACAAAATAATTCTCTATTATCTGATAAAACAATTTTTATTTGAGGACATATCTATAAATTGGAGCTATTTTATATAATTATTAGGATTCTGTAAAAATTTCTAATTAGTCTCATTACTTTGTTTTTGATTTGGAATTTAAATAAAAGCTATTATAGAATTTAATTAGAAAACTTCTCAACTTAAATAAGGATTTAGATTAATGATGAAGTATGGGTCCAATTAAAGTTTAATAAAGTGAAATTCTGCTCATTATGATTTATTAGATATCACTTCTCTTTGGTGAACTAATTAGGAGTTGAGAGTTTGGTATAAGCATTTAATTTGCCCCAAGATGATTTTTTCCATTTTTGCTTTAATTAAAAATATAATATATTTTCTACTACAATCTCAAATATATTGCTTTAATTATTTAGTGTGAACTATTCTCTTTTATCTCATTAAATTTCATCTAATTTTATCTGTTTATTGCTTTGATCAATCTTCAATTATTTAAACTTCATGTTAATTATTATTATTTTTACAGATATTTTGGATATTCAAATTTTTAATTTAATTCTTTATATACTTAAAATTATTTTATTAAATTCGATTTTTTGATAGTCTACCTTTTATATCTATATTTGTACTCAAGTAGATGGTCTCTGTGATAATGATTACCATGAACAATTATTGAAAATCAGCAAATAAAACTGATTATATATTTCTCTTGCCAAAAAAATCAATTCATGTATACGCATTTATTATCTAAATATTTTCAAAAGTAATCAATAAGGAAGTGAGAAAAATAGAAATTTTAATTTTAATCTCCTGTACATTCTGGGTAATTAAGAATACATAGTAT